TTCTTCATTTTTAGTTCGAAAGAACCCATAGAAATTAATGATTAATACTGGTTTCCTATCAGTAAGTCATAAGATTGCATTTCAGTCATATACAATAATTAAAGGCAGAAATCTAATCATTTGCGAAACATTTAAAACTTAAGGGATGTTGAAGAATATCATAAAATAATAATTTTTTCTTCTTATTATACAGTTGTCTATTTATTTTTTTGATTTAATTTCGATTTTGCTACTGAAAATTTATATAATTTACAGTTTTTTTGCTAGTATAATTTGCAACATAGCAACTCCGGTTGCTCATTTTATTGTTTTTAACCTATTTTTCAGTAAAAAGTAAAATGTATACATGTATTTGATACGCCAAAATTACAAAATATCGCCCTAAAGTACTCGAATTATCCGCAGCTTGCGCTAGTATCGCTTTTGCTTTCCCTACCATGACTTCGCACTGATCGAATAGATCACAGCCATGTTTTAACATGCCTTAGCATGCTAAACGTTCTTTCGATTAACTCTGTCGTTGGTGGAAGAGCCATAAATATTTTTTAAACCACTTTTTATGTCTGGATAAAATTCACAATGTTTGGATGCTATATCATTAATGAAAATCTCATTGTGTGTAGAAAGCCCTTTCGTACTTCAGTTTGGTATTCAGCTTCAAAATTGTCGATTCCAAATTTTTCCACTACTTTCATTTTCTAATCGGTAGTGAAAAAAGTATTGTTTTTATGCATTTGGGATGTAACAGGCTTAAGGAAAATTAACAGAGCCTTCGGAAAAGCGTTATGTAAGCGACGTAATAAGGGAATCCAGATATCGTCGGCCTAAGATGCAAATGGCCTAACTCCACTTTTTACCAAAGGTACGTTTTTTGGCTATCCGTTAGTTAAAGATCTGTACTGTCGATTCGAAATGGCCTGCCAAGCTTATTTTAAATATTCGCACCAAAAATTACATGACTCATTTTGTAGGTATAACCCCTTTACATTAAGGTTAGGTCTAAAGGATTTTTTGCGTTTCCTGAAAAATTTATATTTTAGGAGTTAGGCCATTCTTCAACTATATTAGCCTTAATATTATTATTTCTATATGAGATTGTTGTTCGTATGCATAATCTTACGCGTTGTTGATTAAGACGCTAAAAGCCAGGGGGGGCAACTGCCCCCCCTTGCCACCCCCAAACGACGCCCATGGGTGAGACTACTATTTAGTTCTTTATACAATGACCTAGGAATATGAAACTAGATTTGAATTGTGTTTATTTTCAAATAAATCCATTATGTCTTCTAAAACTGCCTGATTATTGAGAGTCAAAATTAGTTTTTTGAAAAATGTACTTAGGATTGAGTAGGATTTCATTAGTAAAGTAATAGTAAAATGTCTTTATTTTATGAATATTCAACATTGATCCTAAGAAGATGAAGAATAGCTATAGATTTATTAATCTTCTCAGTTTACAACTTATTTGCACATTACAAAACTATGTACCAAAAACATAATATAATGATGGTTGTTCTTGTTCAAATATTTCTTGAAGATCATAATTTGGCTCAATTTAAAAAGTTGTTCCGGTACTAGATGTTTGATTCTGAAATAAAAAGATCATAACAGATGTATTCTTCATCTACAAATGAGTCTTCTTTCAGTTGTTACACAGGAAGAAATTGATAAACATTTTCTATTCATGAAAATACCCCTATGGGTATTACTGCCACCACCTCCATCAATATTCTCGTTTTCAAAGATTACACAAGTTTGTTAATTGTATTAACATTAGATTGCCAGTGTACATTTTCAAAACTGTTGCATATCTCCCTACTTTCTACTTATATAGCAATCGATGGTCTAGCTATGGTTTTTTTAGTCCGTCGACTCAATATTGTAAAAAGAATGTTGACATATGGTGGCTCTAAAAGATGTTTTTGTTACTTTTATGATTCGTGTGTATGTCTAACGTACCAAATCAATGTACCTGGATCAGTGGTACTTTTGCTTTTCAGAAATTTCTATTTATCTGAAATTGTTACAAGGTTTAGTGTACCAAATAAAAAAATTAAATATTACAGGTCATTTTCTAACTCTTCCTGATATACTATTTAGCAGAGGGGGCTATTTTCTCAGCTGAGGACTACCTCTACTTTCAGGTGTGTAGATGAGCCACAGGTAGTAAACCTGAAATAAATAAAAACAATTATTGTAATATAAATGTTCCGAAAAGTAAATAATATTACTTACATGTTTATGTAATCTATTTTTGGATGGTCCCTTAACCCGAGACGATTTCTGGGAAACCAAAATATCAATAAGCACATCGGCCGAGAAAAGGGTCAGTGCAGAGACAACCCAACGTCAGTGAGACAACTATTTGGATAAGCAGATTATCGAACACCATTGAGGAATGCAGTCGATTTCTTTGTTAAGACTGTGTTATTCCATTTGTTTTAATAATTATTATTTTTGTAACGTTATTTTAATATTAATAAACTTCATACGTAAAATAAACATTTAATTATTTGTGTAGTTTACATTTATTTATATTATTTCGTTTGATTTTAATACTGCTCCCATCTATTGAAGTAAATGCTTAAATTTTCTAGGTATTTGCCTCCTACAAAGAATTGGTTCATACCTTTTTACATAAGAGCAATAACATTTTCCTGAAAATGCTGAGAAGATACGTATAGAGAAAGTAAAAGTTGAAAAGTCTTTTGGTAGGTAGAGAGGGGGTAAACGTCAAACCACGTCGGGCGGCTCCGAGAATTTCACAGTAATGTTTACCTGCCAGTGTCGTTTCATAAAATAAGTAATTTTAAATTGTTATCGGCGGAACCGGACAATCGCATGTATTTATGGATTATAAATAATTATTAAACATGTATTATAATATTCAAATTATAATTTTACAAAATTTCAACAGCTATTCACAATTTATTAAACTATTTACTCCAAATTGTTATTAACATCTATAAAATAATTTTGTACGCCAATGTATCGCGTCCACTTCGGGGAGATTCGCTGCCAACCTGTCAATGTATGTGTATAAAGTGGGAGAACTGGCAAAAGCATTTCCAACTTTTACTTCTGTTCTAACGAAGTTTAGCTAAAAATAATTTCTAAACCATTTGATTAATGGTTTGTAACCACTGTTCATGTTAAGTGCTTGAGATTCGTAGGAGACTTAAAAAATAAAAAGCTTTAGAATATAACAAAAGGAACATAAAAAAGTAGTTACTACTTACAAATGGAAAGATTTTACATAAAATCACCAAGTAAAGCAAGGTTTTCAAGATATTCATTATTTGTTAATGGTTTTGTAAAGTATATGTTCGTAAATAATATCTTTGGGGACTGACTTTGGGTAAATATTATAACATAACCACTAAAACATGACTAAAACTAGCGCCAAGATGTAGGCAACACGTAATAAGGGTTCAAAATGGCGGAGTTTTCTATCTCCTTTTAAAAGGCCCACATACTTTGATTACTATACGGGGCAAGAGAGAGGTCTGACATGCCCAACATAGGGCGCGGCCATTTTGATTCCTGTGACACAGTTTACAGCTAAAGAATCAAATCGCTCACTCTGTGTCGGCACTTTTGATCTCAATGTTGCAGTTTATACACTGTGCAACTCGGATAATAAAATATATGACAACCGCCTATAATAAAACAGCAGTCTTCTGCGTATCCTGAATTTGTATCCCTGGAGTGGATGTTATTTTGGAACTTTCAACTGGTCCGAGTGAGCTAACTGATTCTTTAGCAATAAACTGTGACTTCAAAAATAATATTCACTGACACTGCATGACAGCAGCAAGCAAAATATCAGGTGTGTTTTAATCATCCGCTTCTGCTTTCGGAATTGTCGGTTTAGTCGTTTTAACCTGTCAGATTAAAACAAGAAAACCGACAATTCCGAAGCAGAAGCGGATGATTAAAACGCACCTATTAAAAATATTGCGCCAAGATGTAGGCAACACGTAATAAGGGTTCAAAATGGCGGAGTTTTCTATCTCCTTTTAAAAGGCACTCAGAAAGCTGCGCAGTGCGACCATTCTCCGTATAGTAAAAGAAAATCAAAGTATGTGAAAAGGCCACATATTGTGGCCACATCAATGAACTGGAGTGGGGTAGAATGCTTGTCAATAGGCTTGAGATGCGACTCTATGGGCAAAGACAGGTTATTTTTCATCTCACTCGGAAGTATTTATAACAACCATTTTCTATTTCACTTTGTTATTGTCTGATCCACCAGCTTGTGGATTGAACAATAACAATATGAAACAGAAAATGGTTATTATAAATACTCCCGAGTGAGATGAGAAATAAAAATGGCTGCGCCCATAGAGTCGCATCTTGTTTTATGATACAATAATGCACATTGGCTTTCTACCCCACTCCAGTTCATTGGGCCACATACGTGCCACATGACGTGTGTCTTTTTTTCCACCGGTTTGTTGCAACCGTTGTTTCACCGATGCGGCATTGAACGTTTTGTGTTGGATTCGATACATTTTTGGTTGACCGTTGAAATAAATAACAGTTGACATACCGCACCGATGCCAACGTTGCTGCAACAGTTGGATAAAAAGACACACGTATGGCCACATACTTTTGCCGCGTTTGAGAATCCACATCGGATGCATCTGAGATGTAAAAAATCTTTGATCACGTGATTCAGTATACGTAAATGTAATGGGACAGATGTGTCCGATGTGGATAAAAAAACGCTCGAGATGTAAAAAATGCATCCGATGTGGATTCTCAAACGCAGCATAAATAGGTCTTTTCCTTTGCATCGAAAGTGTAGCGCTGAGCTACGTCACTTCTGAAAATATCGTTCTATCCATACAATTTGTATAAACGGTGGGTTTTACACCGGGCCAAACGAAAGGTTTAGTGCAAGGTTACTGGGTTTAGTGTACGTTGGTGTAGTTCATTCCTACACCAGTTGGACGAATGAAAGAACCTACTATGTCAATTTTGTCATTGAACATCGTTGACATTTGGCGCCAGTAAAAGGAAAACAAAAAAAAAAGGAGGCAAAAGTGTTTACATTTTGCTACAATTTTGTTATTAATTTATAATTATTAGAAGATAAAAAAATAGTGGCATGTGAACGAGATATTACTTAATACACAAATTTTTATAAAAGGTAATTTTTAAGCTTTTAGTTGTTTAGGTTGCATAATTATTATAAGTAGGTACCTATGCTCAAATTTATTGTTTTTCTAACATTAGTACGTGTTTTGTAACTTGGACGAAAATGATAAATTTGGAGCTATAAGATTTTGATTGTTTTCTCTAAATATAGTTTTAATTAACTTTGCAGTACCTACATAATGAGTCTTGCAGCAGTTCCCGAGGAGTCTACCACACACTTTAATAATTCTTTAACAAATCTAAATAGGAGGAGATCGTTATTTCCATGTGAATTCTCAGATTCCGAGTCTGACTCTGATCTGGGTCATATAAGTCCTTTAAATTTTGACTCTAGTTTTGATCAAGGAAATTTTAATATCCTTACAAAACAGAGTCAAAATGTTCCTAATATTGTAGGAGAATATGATATAATAGGAGTAGTTGAAAATCAGAATCAACTAGAATATACCCCACAGGGAAAGAATCCTCAATTAGAAGTCATGTCACCTCTATACCTTAGTCCACACTACAGCAAAATGGAAACCACTGTAGCAGAGACTCCTTCAAAAACATCATCATTTTTTAAATTAAAAACTCCTAATGATGCCCCTAATACTAATTCAAAATTACCTAAACTTTCACGTAAATCTCTTTTAGATTCTGAAGTTTCTTCAAATGCAAACAAAAGAAAATTATCTCCTGATAAATCCCCTGATCAAATTAAACAAATAAAATTAGATTCTAAATCTTCTCTGTTTCCTGAAGTAGATTTTGCTCTATCCACAAAAAGCTTCTATCCAAAGTCTGAGGACATTCTCGCAAAAATTATGAATAAAAGAGACATTGCTTCAACATCAACTGTTCTGTTTAATGCAAATCGCAAATCAAAAACACGTAAGAAAATTGGGCAAATAAATGCTGGAGTAGGACACAAAATACGTAAGCCAAAACACAAAAGGTTTACTAAAACATCTGTTGTTAAAACTACTTTAAATTCAATCGGAAACTCTGCAATTACTGAATATATTATGGACCTCAAGGAGTTAAAAACTGGCAATAATCCATCTAAGATAGAAAATAAAGAAAATGCTCAACCACCTCAAAAATTGATAACTCCTGCTATTATAGTTCCTCAAAAGACACAAGTGTCTATTGAGTCTAAAAAACGCCCACTTAGCCCCACATTTGAACCAGATATGAATAAGAAATTTTTCAAATTTTCAAGAGCTAAAGGTGTCATAAAAATGAACAAAAATATTCAACTTCAAGTTGATAATGGAAAATTTAGTATATTAGAAAAGAATATGAATAAATCCAAGAATGATTTTGATATGACCGATTTAACTGTTGATGATTCAGAAATTCCTAATACCAATATAGATAATATTCTCTCTTTACTTGAAGATGACAAAGAATCAACCCCCCAAGAAAACAGAATAGTTTTGCAAGCAACTAATTCTGTAATTTCTTCTGACAATTCTATTTTATTACACCAACCAACTTGTACAGCTGATTTAATTCTATCTCCTATATCACAAATGTGTGATGTAACTTCTGGTTTAGCTTTAAATACACCAAAAAAAGTTAAGAACTTGACTCCCATTTTACAAGAACTTGAAACAAAGAGCGTTTCTGATGACCAAAAACTCAATAAATTATTTCCTGTTTTTTATCCTGGACACACTGCAACTTTAGAAAAGAAAGAGAAGGTGGAAAAGGTCATAGTAAATGCAGAAAAAAAGTTAAACAAATTATTACCTGACCAAATGCTTATTGATGCTGGTCAAAAAAAGTTTGGAATTACTAAGTGTTTGGAATGTAATTTTGTTTACCATGAGGGGGATCGTAATGATGAGATAATGCATTCGGATTTCCATAGCGCAAGGCATATAATGAAATTTCCAGTAAGTTACTATTTTCTGCTTATATTAATCAAGAAAAACAATGACTAGGAAAAACTGGTATTTTCCACAATTTGCTATTTTTATTTTAAAAATGACAGTACTAAAATATTTAATGATAACCTGTTATGTTATTCTTGTATCTATCAAATTGCCTTCCTTTTAGCTCTTATGATGATCACCACTGGCAGAAAATAGTATTGCCATTTTTGAACAACAATATTTTGAATTGTGGAAGACTGGTTTTTCCTTTCCTACACACATTATGCCACATTAGAGACATTGATAACTTTTTTACTCATGTATAAAGACTTTCATAACAGCACTGTCATGATAATAGAGAGAGATATTGCAAATTTCTGTAAAGTCAGCCACTAATAGTGATAGCATAATTAGTGGCAAATAAATTCCATGCTAATAATCTAATATTATAAGTTCATGGATTTACTTTTTTTAAACCCACTAAATGATAAGTAGATACATAAAATAAAATATTAGTTATTTATATTACAGAATATTTTCAAAATTTTAAGTTAGATTTGGAATCCGCAAGTATTGATGTGTTCCCAGACCACATAGAGTTCAGTCTCATATGGAACAGCACTATAATGTGACCATTAGTTGACTCGTGTTTCTTGATAGAAATTCTGACAGTGTCATTAAACGAATGGTCATGTGGTCTGATGGTACTCAACCTGTGTCATGCGGGGCTTAAAGTGTTAATATTAGAAAACTTCGAACTGGTATGAATGTTGGCGAGCGCACCTGAAAGCTAATAGGTCACCACTATTTGCTGCTGTTAAACATCCACAATAAGGACAGGCACAATCTTTAATAAAGTCAGTTCTAGACCTTAAACGATCTGAGTATGCTCTGATGTCTAAATAAGAGCAAAACTAATAGTGGGTGACCTTAAGTGAACTTGCAATAACTCTCTAATGACTGATGTATGAGACTGTCCAATTGTTTTTGTCTAATTTTGTTCGTCTTTTCACTACATATTATGCTGGTCCTTGATATAACTAAAGTATTTGATAGTATTAACCTAAATGCCATTTACAAGTCATGTTATTGATAGAATCCAACTTACAATTTTTAGATGACAGTGTTGCACCCTGTATGGCTATATCACTTATTGTAAAAGTAATTTGTTTGCTTATGAGATTTCCTTGTACTACTAATTTAACCCTCTAGTAGAATAGATCATATTTATAGATGCTATGAATAAAATACATTTGGAAATTGTATACCATCTGTAACTAAATATTGAAAAGCAAATTCAATTCTAGCATTTTATATAACCTATTAAGTAAAAATATATTTATTAGAAGTTTTACCGATTTGTATTTTTAATTATCTTTTGTTTAGATACAAAATATTGTCTATTTATTTGTTAATATTTTAATGTTCTAAGAATTATGAAAAGGTTAAATTTAATTTGCTTTACAATTTTACAATAATTATGGCAATATCACAGTGCTGCTATTATGCAATAAAACTATAATTTCAGAAAACGATAAATTATTGCTTATAAAGAGAATATATTTCTCTATTAAAGAGAATATCAAAAGTTGCTGGTTCCAGACGGAAATTGTAATTGTCAAAATCATTTTATATTGCAAATGTTATAATCCACATTAAAAACTAATTTTACTGCAAGAGAAAAAATAAGATTATTTTTTATAAGGTTATGTTTATTATTATTTTCAAACTCCAAAACAAGAGTAGCGTTCAAATTTATATTCTTTTAACTCCGATGTCACGGGACCAAAATTTACTCCTGCTCTATCTAGCTCCTCCGAGTTTCCCACCCGAACTCAGCATAAACATTTTTTTATTATTATTGATATACATTTTTGGAAGATTCGATTATCAGATATGAGTAAGATGAACCCTTTGTCAAATACCACATTGCAAAGAATAAACATTTTTACAAATATTTATTTATATGCACATAACAAGTCAGTAATGTACAATTTTTCAATAAAAAAATTAAAAGTAAAATTAAATATACAACTTGAATTAAATAACTTTAAATCAACTACATGAGAATTATGGAGACAGTAAGAGATACCAATCAATCAATGAATTTGCCTTAAAAGTGCATTTTTACAAAATGGTTCTTATCAGACTAGTTAAAAAAATGCCGATAATCAAATTACATACAAGTTAATCATTAAAAAAGATACAAGAAGGAAAAACATCTTAAAACTTAATCTAAATACAATTTTGAGATAGAAATTGAAAAGGTTCATTACTGAAATTATCTTCGTTAATAAGTTCAAATTAAAATCCAATGTATCTCAAAAATGTATGTTGGATTCTTTCTATTCTGTTTAAATGACACACACATACTAACATGTGACCCACAAAAAAATATTTCTAGAGTAGGCCATGACTGATAAAGACATAGATACAAGTTATGTCCTGATAACTTCAGCCCATGCAGAATAATTTGTCTATGGTGGGCTATAATTTGTGCAGTTGGCACACCTTCATACCATCTTAGTGGCTACAAAATAGGTCAGTAGTGTCCTACTATTGTATAATAAGTAAATTAATTTTTTACATTAGAATTAATAAAACAATTTTTCCCTATACTATTTAATTTATACCTTGGTTTACACTAAAAAACGTACAAGGATATATTTAAATTAAATTTTAATATATAAAAATGTTGTGTCATGACTATGACCATACAGAGAGGCCCAGTCTTATTTGACTATCAACTGATGGATGAATCTTTAGAAATGGTTCACGATTTCAGACATCTAGGTGTAACTTATAATAATAAATTTTTGTCTCAAAAACATATTGATAATGATACTATAGTGAAATGAGCCAGTCGTGTTCTTGGATTTGTAATAAGACAAACATATCCTTCTTCTAATATAAATTTAATTAAACTTTTATATTTTCATTGGTAAGACCTACACTAGAATTTACTTCGGTTGTGTGGACATCTTTAGAGGATCTTGAGAAAGTATAAAACAAATTCTTAAGGCATCTTTATTACATAAAATATAATAAAAGATCTGGTTATAATGGTATAAGAACTACACGACTTCGTACTGAATTTAATAGAATGTTATTAGAGAGTAGGTATCTTTATTAATTTTACATAAAATCCTTAATCATACTGAAAACTCCTTCAATTTGCTATCTCTAATCACCTTTAATGTTCCATCACAAATAACACACAATATGCTAATGTTTAATATACCATTTGTTAGTTCTGCATACCGTGCTCCTCTCCTAGATAGAAATTGTACAATTATGCATTAAATAATTTTATAAAAGAACTATCCTTGTAATAAGGCCAGGCTGGGTAGAATACATAATAAATATAAAAAAAATATAGTGTGAGGACGTAAAGATTAGAATAAACTCGATATTTTTGTTGAATTAAAAATATTTTGAAAAATCGTTTATTTAGAAATGGTTTTACAATAATTGTATAAAAATTTAAAACTAAACAAACAGAAGAGACAACGACAATTTGCATATAAATTTAAAATATGCAATGAGTAATTAAGCCATTAAGACCATAAAGATTACTCACTTAATAATAATTGCTGTTCATTATGTTGTAATGAGAATTATAGACAAGGAGTAATTCTCTAAAATTGGACAACTTAGGAATCAATTCATAAAAAATTACAAATATTAAAGAAAACAATCTCCTTTTATGGGAATAAATACTCATTATGGGATTAACTGAAATTTAATTAGTTTTAAAACCAATTGCGATAAATTAGTATCTTATTTTAGAATATATTATAGGAAACCATTATAATTACAAGAAATTTCACCAAAGTTTTAAAGAAAGTAGGAACATTGATAAAAAATGCATAGAAAATAATTTTAGATATTGATTAAAGTATAAATTAATCTTGCATTTGAAATTTGTAAACTGGTTTTTAAATTTTATGGTTTTAAGGTCAACACTTGCAATTTTATAAAATGTTTGGTATTTGTTCTTATCCATTAACGTAATCAACCACCTACAATATTATAATATAATAATGAGTAGTAACCTTTCCATCTGCGTTTTTCAAATACTTGGGACCTTCCAGGAATAAGAACGGTTCAAATGCAATATTGTTGGTCATCAACCATTCTATCATTTTTCTTGAATTAGAACAGAGCAGGAGTTTCGATTACATTATATACATGCCTCTGAATCATCCTCAATCAGGCATCGTTTTCTTACATGGTCTTTAAACTTTACAACCAAGTTCCTTCTCATCTCATCTTATTTTAATGTACATAATTTTTTTTATGAATATCATTCTTCAAATAAACGTTATTTTTTTTAATTTGGTGTCGTCGGTATCAACTACTAATGGTTATTAGCCTCGTGTTCTGTGTAGACGTTGTTACTGTTTCCCAGTGCCACTTTAGAAACAGCACTGTTAATTAGAACCCAACAGTGAATGGACGAGTGGGGAATCCTACCTATGCATTAGAATGAATATTTAATTTATTAAATAAAAATCACTGCCACCAGTGGGATTCGATCCTGAGACCATTCGATCTCAAAGTCATGACTAACCACTGAGTCAACCCACCCCCTATAAAAGTTATTATTATTAATTAAATCCAAACCATCATTTTTCCATAGCCTACTTTAGAAACGTTTTTTGTGGGTAACTTTGTAATTTCTACTGGAAATATTTTACATTAACGCATGAATTGCTTTATAGGGTTGGAAAAATGAAAGGGTTGTTGCTGATTTTCAAGTCAATGGTAGAATTATTCAAATTTTGCCAGGTGATTCAAAATTATGGTGGAAAAAGATTAAAGAATTGACGGACACAATCAATATGGAAATAGGATGCTATGATATGGAATATTCTCTAGATCACTGTCAGGTAAGGTAGAATGCTTAGTTTTGTATCGATATTATAAAAGAATAATTTATCATTGTATATGATCCTTGTCTTATTGCTAATGACATTTTTTTCTTACAATTTTATTACATTAAATTAAATGCCTTTCACTATATAATAATATTTTTCTTCAGTGTATTCTAGTGACATTCATACTTCTCCAAATTACAACAATGATAATTCCAAGGATCTGGACTAGTTTGATATTTCTTTGAAATATGTTTCTAATGGTAACAGTGTATGAACTAAAATCTAAAGTATCATTTGGTACTGGTGGTTTACCTACGTTATTTTTGAAAAATTGTAATTATAGCTTGTGCATATGAATAAATTAATATTATTTCTAACTTAGTATCACTGGAGAAAGATAGACTTGAGGCAGATTTGTTGTTTGTTTATAAATTAATTAATGATTACATCAATTGTCCTGATCTGTTATCACAATTTTGTATTAATGCTGGGCCAAGAATAAACAGAAATAGATCTATACTTTATATAGAATCACAATCAACCAATTATGGTTATCATAGTTGTCCCATTTGCCTCCTGTATATAATAATTGTTCCTTAGATATCTAATTATAATCTCTAAGTTAATTAAAAATGCGTAAAAATGTTTGTAAATAATCTTGAAAAGCTCCGTATTTAATTTTTTTTTTAAATTTCATGTTTATTACAATTTTATATTTGTAATATATTCTATGTTTATCTTTAAATTATTTTTCTGTGATTCTAATGTATAAAATTTTTATTATCTGTCTATCAATAATTTTAACTGTGAATATATTTGCTTAATAGCAATATCAACTTATATGTACCCAGAAATTTTGTGCATTATCTTATCTAAGGCTTGTTATTATTAAGTGATAAGACTACATGATTTTATTAACCTTTTTATGTAAAACGATCCATTTGAAAGAAAATTCATAATACTTCTAAAACTAAAAATGTATGTTTCTGTAATTTTCTTACTCCTACTATTTGTTTCAGGCTTTTTTATACATAAAAAAGAAAACAATAATAGGCTGTCTCATAGCCACCCCTAAAACGGAGGGTTATCAAATGCTTACGCCAATAAATAATGAAATAGATGTATGTTCTCAGAGGATCCATCCTATAAAATGTGGAATCCCTCGAATTTGGGTTTCAGCCAACACCAGGAAGCATGGTATTGCTACACAAATGATGAACGTATTGAAGAAACATTTTATTCAAGGATCTGTTCTTTGCGACACTGATATTGCATTTAGTTCCCCCACAGATTTGGGCAAAGCATTTGCGCAACGTTATTTCAAAACGAAAAATTTTTTCATATACTTTCAGTAACTTTTATTTTGCCATAGATTTTTATGGTTATTATTGTCCTTGGAACGCTTATAAAGTACTTTTTTTTAAAATTTTAAATTTAGACATTTTGATAACTTATTTTTTGTTCAGTTTTCTTCATATGACAAGTGCGCGTGTTTCCCGCTAAATGAAATAAGCTATTATATATTGTTGATAAGATAAATTGATATGTCAATAAGGTCTGATCAAACATATTTTCCTACGTACCTGTATTAGAAATTGTTCCGGTAAAGTTACTATTCTGCTTACCCTGCTGTCAGAACAAACACATTTTAAATCTTCTGATATGGTTAACTTTAGGATAATTATTCTCTAAAAACCACTGTTATCATGTAATTTACTCGTTAAGTATCAAAAGATTGAATTGTATTGATAATAGAAAAGTGCATATAACATGAACTTAAAATATATTCTGCCTATTATCTGGACATCAATTAGGGTTGCCACTTGTCCTTTTTTCAAACAAATTGTCCTTGTGACTTTTTAAACCTTAAAATGTTTTTTTTTTAACTATATTACAATACATACCACTATTTTTCGAGATTAACTTATTCGCTGCAGCACTGGAGCGGCACGAAACAGAAACCCAATGCTAGTGCAAGTCAAACCACTTAATCACATAAATTACATAATTTTGATTTAGGTAGTCTTCAGTCTATGCGTCAGACTGTTATATAGCGGACGCACAAGCTAAACCATATCTTAAAGCAATTTTTTTAGTTATATATTTATGCATTTATTTATGAACTTATGGTGCATTTTTAGCGTTTTACCGTGATACCTTGCTCAACCGCCGTATTCGCATTCATAAAGCCGATACTATCAAGATATTTTTAAAATGTCCTTTATTCACTTTTCAAAGAGGTGGCAACCCTAACATTAATAATTTGGCCGTTTACTAACTTGAACGTTGTTATGAATACAATATGGATTTACATATTAAATCACAATTTATTATAGTTTTTATTTATTTGAAAGAATGGATATTTAGTAGTCACTCCAGGGCAGCCATTCCTATATCGACTGCTATGAAATAATGTTGTACCTGTCATGAACAATAAAGTCATGTCTTGTCTGTCAACTCATGTAAAACCATGATATTTTTGTTTTACAATAAGAATGTTCAAACAATTGAGGGGTATAGTTTCAAAGTCTACAATCTCCATGTTTCCTAAATTCTCAGTAGACGAAAAAAAAACTAATAATTTTTTAAATACAAACAATTAAGGTACTTTTTATTTTTTATTGTAATTTTATCATATCCAGAGTTATTATACCAATTTTTTCCTTAAAATTTTTAAAAACATCAAAGTTATTTTGAAAAAATATTTGGAGATTGTACGTTATGAAAATAACAATTGGAGTTTGTTAATTTTGAAAATAACTAATATGGGTTGTCCACTTTAAAAATAACATAATTTTTCATTAATTTTTAAATTTTTATTCATTATAAAAAAAATTAAAAAATGAAAAAAAAAAGACATTAAATTCAGCAAAAAAAAAAATTAAAAAATATATAGTGGGTTGAGCTCACAAAAATCAAAAGCTGTTAATTAAATAGAAAGTTCCACTTCGTCTTCGATAGTCTCACACAACGTCGTTTCATCCTCGACTGTTTCGTTTTCTGTAACCGTGTCCTCGTCTACGACGAATTTGTAGAAACTTAGACGTGGATCATTTTTCCACTTCCTTTTTGTTGTTGACCACATTTTGTTTCGGAATTTTTGTAGGTTTCATATTTTCAATACTCTTAGTCTTTTTTGTTACTGGCTTTCCTACACCAGAATCCGAATTATAGACTATTTCGCCGCGGATTAGTACTGTGCCTTTAGAGCTTTTTGTTAAAATCATTCTCTTCATTTTTGAGAAAGCAAAATGCCAATGGCCTGGAGGCTTAATGTACTTGCTAGTTTCATTTTGCCAATCGTATATTTCAACTACTTCTCCAACCCTAAGAACAGTAGTAGCATACTTTGAAAATATATCCAGATATTCCTCCGATTCCAGAATTATTTCTTTTTCTTTAATAGTCTTTAAAATATGCCCAAAAAACCTGTCTGGGGGCATAAAGGAGTGCCCTTCTAACTGGAAATACCACTTTAATTTTTTTAATTTTATCTTGTATGAGTGAGGTATTTTTGTTCTGGACTCCGCATCCATCAGACATGAGCCGGATTGTATGAATGTCATCTCCAAAATCAGTCGACTGAAGAATGTGATAAATGCAGGAGGCAATCTCGTTCGAACCATTCTTGTACTCGTTTTCGGTCCAACAGAAAAAAGTGACAGTAAATGGATTTAAGTTACTTTTAGAAGTACCCTTTACAACGGTGTAATTGTAAATATAAAATTTCCTTGAATAATAGGCCTGTTGATCCAGAATCTTAGGTAATACTAGATTTTTCTGGCAGTTGAACGAAAAAATTTCGATTCCTGCATCCCGTTCTCTTAACAGGCGAAAAAATGCTTTAGATCTCAATGAATGTACCCTTTTCTGGATCAATAAGTTGGCTTTGACATCCTTATCATAGCTTTTATTTATTTTTTCTGTTAACTGTAAGCATGTCGAACAAATATCGGTTCTAGGAGAACCAAAACTAAGGTTGTATTTTGTATTAAAAATATTTCTGAAATAGCTTTCTTTTACTGGAACGTTTTCATTTTCCTTCACTTACATTCTCTACATTGACTTTATAATTAAAGAAAAATCCAGGTATGGTCGTTGGCTTTGTCCTCTGCAATAATGAGATTCAATTACATGAAATTTGTTAATAAAATCCATAACAGCATTTTTCTTTCACTTGTAATTTTCCAGATTTCTATCGCCTCCACGATTTTCCTTTACAGATTGAGAAGTTTGATCAAAGTTCTTTTAGTCTAAGATCCGTAATAAGGTCGACCTTCACCCATCTGGTTTACCGGATGAAAGTTTCTTTTTAATAAATAAAATATGTTTATAAATATATCGCAAAAGGGTTGCCTAAGAAAATACGGTCCAGAGTATTTATTTTTTAAAAATAAAAAAAACAACATCCTGTAAAGTATTTACCAGATGCTTTGATTATGCCCAAACTTTAATCAGCTCAGCGCAGGATAGATTAAAGCCTAAGTTTAACATTGGTGTTTTTCTCCTTATCCGTTTTTGAGTTGTCTTCAAAATTCGAAATTTGCAATTTTCCTTAAATATCTCGAATTAGGTCCATTTTATCATGATTCCTATACTTTCCTCATCTGTACACAGAAAGGAAAGCAAAAAATGGCTTTGACCGTATTTTTTTAGGCAACCCATTTGCGGTATATTTTATTTATTAAAAAGAAAATTTCATCCGGTAAACAGATTAGTGAAGGTCGACCTTACTTACGGATCCAGGACTATTTGTAACTGTTTCAATTCGTCTCCGTGCTATACCCAAAATATCCATTAAAGCTTTCTTGCACACAGTCAACATTTTTTTTTGTTTCGTCAAGATATAAAACCGTGTTTGAAATTTTTTTGAGACATTCTTAGAATTTTTCGGGCGTTTACGCTGTATCGGAAATGTTTTTGCAATATTTTATCTTAAATATTTTCTCTTTTGTCTCATTAAATTTTGAATAAAACTGTCTTATTTCGGATAAATTGGAAGCGAATGTGGACTATATTTAACACAAACCCATCTTTGCAGGAAGATATACAAAAACCTTCTATCAAACTTACCTAATTGTTTTTGGTGAGTTCTTTTCCACGTCGCCGTAATACGTTGTTTTTTTCTTGCTTTATTACTGGTTAATAGAGTAACGTTCACCTCCATTATTACTTTAAAAAACTCGTGAAAAATTGGAAAAAACTAGTAAACAAACTTTACTTCTTCACGAATCACATACAACTAACTTAGAAACGTAAATTCAGACTGATTTTAGCGCGAAATATTATTGACAAGTCTGTACAGGAGTTTACATGCTTTAAAATAATTCAAAACTAACAAAAAAAACCCATTGGAGATTGTACACTTTGATTTTTAAAATCGGATTGGAGATTGTACGGTTTGAAACTTAAATGTCAACGGAGACTACGTTTTGAATTTAAGTCTAATTTTCGGCCGTCAAAATTCGTTGGAGATTATCTGTTTTGAAAAAAAAAAAAAATATGAATTATTTCGATTCAGGGCTACAAATTCTATGTAATGCGACATCTATCTTATTTTTTTATATAATATGGAGATTGTGCACTTTGAAACTATACCCCTCAATTATTAAGAATACTATTAGACTTGAATCAATAAGTTCACTGATTCAAATAACGACTCATTCTGTTGTTAATGTAACACTCTTATAGTTGAATCTGAAAATAATAGACAATAATTGAAAGTCGAGAATGTGTGAAGAATGCTGACAAGTTGCCATATATGTAATATCTTTCAAAGAATTCCTTTCATCATACAAACTATGTTAATGAAATGCTTAAAATAGATAATTGTTGTCCAAATGACAACAGCATTTTTCACACATCCCATTATTGCTTGTCATTAAAATGTATAACCTTACAACTAATGGTATGGTCCGATATTAACTAACTACTAACCCTATGTTATGTTGAGAATGGGGTGTTAATACACTGCGACCTAAAAGATCTATTGTGCCCTCTTCTATCGCCACTGCACTAAGGAAATGTCTCAATGCCTATAGCGACCCTTCCAATCCTATTTTCTCAAGGAAGTGTAGGATTTGAAGTGGCTTCAAGTTAAGTAAATCTCCCTCTTCTATTTGATATCCTCCTAGATATAGTGCCCTTGGATTCTGGAGTGCTACACATTCAGTTAGGATGTGAATAGAGGTTTCGTCCTCCTCCTCACAGAATCTGCACTCACTATCCTCTACTACTCTCAGTTTACTTAGGTGTCCTTTTAGTCGGCAATGCCCGGTAAGGATCCCTGTTACAATACGTAGCCTGTTCTTGCTCAGACAGATGCAGGCTTCCGATCTTTTCTGGTTATATTCACCCAGAAGTATCTTGGCCTGTCTCACCCCCAAGAGATAATTACTAACCGTAACTAACCAGGATTTTTTGACAGCGGTTCCTGAAAAAAACTAATTTGTTTGTTTGTGACAGATCGACATTCGACTTAATCGTAGCCGTAAAAATATACTGGTTAATGAACTGACGTTTGAGTCAACATTTTCAGGTAAACACGTCCTTAATTTAACCGATTTTTCAGGAATGTCTAGCAGAGCAATTAGTTTTGGACCGAGTAGCGGATATTTCGGTTAATATCGAAGCATACCCTTAATAAACTTTAACAGATGTTTAGAATGTGAGTGATTTGAAGTTAATGTTATTCGGACAAAACACATTCTCAAAAGCTCTATTAATATTTATTAGGCTCATACATTTTATTGAAAGTTCTTGTACCCGGCTGTGAATCTGTCAAAATAATGAATTGTTATTTGAAGTGAAACGGAACATATAGAAATAAATACAATGAACACATTGTAGAAATAGTAAAGAGTCACAGCAATACTTTTTTACTGATGACGTAATTTGTGTTCAATTACAAATGACAGTGACAGTAAACATATTTTGTTTTTGAGTGCTTCTTGTTTACAAATTATAAGACCTTCAAACAATATAAAAAAAAAAATGAAAATGTATGTCAGTTTCAGTGACATAATTGTTTTTGTTATAAAAGTACTGTCATTAGAACACTAATATGTCACAGTAATATAGCGTAGTACTAATTAGATCTTTTCCTTTGCATCGAAAGTGTAGCACTGAGCTACGTCACTTCTGAAAGTATTGTTCGATTTATACAAATTGTATGGATGAAACGATATTTTCAGAAGTGGCATAGCTCAGTGCTACACTTTCGATGCAAAGGAAAAGATCTATTGTAAATTCGGTGGTAGGACTTTAAATCAATGGCGTAACGGTTTGAAATTTTTAGGTTAACACAAACTTAGTTTGTAATAACAAAGATATAGTTTTTTTTATTTTATAAAATAGTTGTGTTTAAAGCGTACCAAATTATTTTGAACAGAGTGTAGAAGACGTATTACATATTATTTTATACAGGGGGTGATTCTTAAAATTCAGATTAGACGTTTTTCATAAAATATGCCAGACTGAAATCTGAAAATATACAGGGTGTTCCATTAAGAATGGGACAGAATCACTGAAGATTCTCTGATTAAAAATAAGTCGATTAAACGAAACATGCTTAGGTAAAATGTTACTCTTTCCGAAAATTCGCAAAAAATTTAATGGTGAATTTTCAAAAACTTATTTGGATTATAATTTAATTTTTTTTTTAAATAAATCGTGGACTCTTGGTGAAAACTTATAAAAAATCAAAATTTCAGAAATTAAAAATAAATTAAAATGAAGAGCATCATCTTTGTAGGCAAATTTCTCGAAAACCAATCACTTTATAAGTTTCCAAAAAGAGTACATAATTTATGTAAAGTACATCAAAAAATTTAAAATTATTGCCCAAATAAGTTTTTCGGACAGTTGCGTAAAATTTAGAAGGGATGTTACCAAAGATAACAGATATAACCATTCATTATATAATATTCACTGTGCCAAGATTAATTTGACAATCAATACGCTCTATTTGTAGGTCCGCGGCGAGGGGACGTAAGGGGAGAAGTAAGAGAGGGGATAAAGAGAATAATTTTACGCAGATACAACTTTTTCTTATACGCGATGTACGCCTATAATAAATAATGTATATATCCATGCCGGTGTAAGCCCTGTTGTCACTTCCAACTTACCATTACTAGGTTTTAGAATTTATTGAAAATTATTACATTTAATTTAGTGAAATTGCATCTAATGTAGTTAAATGTGATATAACTAATGATGGTGGGTGAGGTTTTCCGGGTTTTCCTCACCTGTAAGTCAAATGGCACCATCAATCATCTTTAAGTCGCCCCGGAGCGCCACGGCAAATAATAATAATAGCCGTCCCTTCCCCTACACAAGTCGTTCTCGACTTCAGGGGTTGAAATTCACTCGTAAGGGGGTGAATTAGGGAGAGTGTTATTATTATTATATTATTATTATTCAAAAATTTTTGGGTTCAGTTGTAATAAAATAGGTTAAATTATTTTAGCTTTTTTAATATATTTAAATAATTTTGTAAACAATATACTATACCCTTCTGTGTCCCTTAGAATATGTCTTATTCAGGACCGTACGATATTAGTAGCTACATCTTTTATCTCTGGATACCTGTGCCGTATGCCACTGACAATGTTTATTTAACTGCTTTTTTGCTGATAGGCATATCTAATGACACCTAGAACGTTTGCTGAATTTAGTAAAATTATACTGAGTAATAAAAAAAAAATCCATTAATAATTTTTGAATTTTCAAATTTAACAACCTGTATTTCGGAAACGAATAACATTTTACCTAAGCAGCATGTTTCGTTTAATCGTCCTATTTTTAATCAGAGAATCTTCAGTTGATTGATGTCCCATTCTTAATAGAACACCTTGTATGTACGGGGAGTTCGTCGAGATGTTTTATTTAACGAAAAAAATGGTTTATTTCAAATTAGGATGAACTTACAAACTTTATTATTATTCATAAAATACCATTCCATTTTATTCTTTTTGGATTCTCCTCTGTGAACTTGTTTCATACTTACTTAGAGTGTGAAGTAATTACTTGGTTTGGAATCCAAATTTTTCAAATTTGAATATCTCTCATCAATAGGGTTGCCAACTTTGTTTTTTATTTTTTCTGGACGATGGTAATTAAAATTCAGGACATTTTTATTTTTGCAAAAACAACAAACTTAAACAATTCGACAAATAAAAACGAAGTGATAAAAAACAAGGATTGTTTGGGTAAATAGAAACTAATGTTTAAACATTTAATTTAAAAAGAACATAAGAATATAAAAAGTTACAGCTACTTAACAGTGTCAGATTTTTTGCTTTTTGTAGATACTATTAATTTCTTGTTAGCTTTTAAAAACTTATAAAATTCTTTGCAAGAATAAGAATAATTATTCTTTATTTGAAGTTTGGCCTTGATGTGTTCAATGAACAAGCGATTACGCGCCTCAGTCCACGAAGTTGAACACATTGAAAATATTCTTTTAGAGTCAGCATTGGTCCCAAATATTAAAAATATAAATTACAAAATAAGCGACGATGCCAATGTGACTATAAAATATAAGAAATTGGAGATATTATTTGAAACATTAAAATTAAGTACAATAAGCGTCCTGCTATATGTTGTTGCTGGATACTGGACAATGCAACCCTAATGGCGGACGTCCACCGAAATAGAGGAAGGTTGGCAACCCTACTCATCAAAACCATTAAAAATTGAACATGTAGCATCTTTTTAAATATTATTTAAATTTATTAATTTATTTACTGAAGAAAGAAAACGTAATCTGTCAACTACTATTTATTAAAAAATCCTTTTCCGTTGGTTTCTGCTGGTGGTTTCGACCTTAAAGCCATCATCAGGCTTAAAGAAAAAGCCATAGTTTTTTTCAGTATGTTGATGAAACAATTTTTTTCTAAAATATACAAAATTAAAATTTCAAGTAAGAAGCAACCATATATCTAAACTCTTATGTTACTTCTTCCTTAATATTTTAATAATTGTGTATTTTGAGAATTTTTTTTTGTCAATCTGTTAAATAAATAGTGGTTGACAGACGTGTTTTCCTTCTTCCTTAAATCTATTTCGAACCACTTTGAGTTGTAGATATTTGGAACTTTAATACAAGGTGATTTATAAGGAATGGGTAATATTTTACCTGCATATTCTATAGCGGATTTTTTTTTTTTTTTTAATAATGAGTTCAAATATTAATTATTATTATATTATACCAAGATAACTTACGTAGCATACTCTGATTCACCAAAATTGATGTCTTATTCGAATTTCTCACATTAAAAAACTTAATTGTATAGCAGGGGCAGAAGTTGGAAAGGCTTTTGGTAGGTAGAGAGGGGGTAAACGTTAAACCACGTCGGACGACTTCGAGAATTTCGCGTTGTTTATCTGCTAGTGTTATTTCATAGAATAAGTAATTTTAAATTGTTACCGGCGGAACCGGACAATCGCATGTATTTATGAATTAGAAATAATTATTATTATACAAGTATTATAATATCCCAAATCATAATTCTACAAAATTTCAACAGCTATTCATAATTTATTAAACTATTTACCGGAAATTGTTTTTAACATCTATAAAATAATTTTGTACGCCAATGTATCGCGTCCACTTCGGTTAGTTCCGCCGCAAAACTGTCAAGTTCTATGTATGAAGTGGGAGAACTGCGAAAAGCCTTTCCAACTTCTGGGCCTGCTATACCCACTTATGTTTATGCGTGAAATAATAACTGAAGTATAACATTTTTTTATTTATTTTATTCGAATGGTTAAATAAGTATACATGGAAATCGTTTTAGTCAATTGTCAACCGTTTTGATAAAACACATGTTCAAATTTAAAACTCCCAAATATCTTCAAGACCCAAGTGTATCATTTAGTTATCAAAAAAGGTAAAGAAAACACACAATATTAACTTATAAAAATCATTACTGCTTACATTGGAAAATAGTTATTTATGCAACAAGTGCAAAAAGTAAGTGTTTATTGCACGCGACGTAAAATTGTCCAACGAGGCCGTCAGGCCGAGTTGGACAACACGTCGAGTGCAATAAACACTTTTTGCACGAGTTGCATACAATATTTTTTCTACGTTCATGCAAAAACCAAAAAATGTTTTATAGAACTGCAGTTGTATTATACAAATCATAGTAGCCGTGATCGTGTACCTTTGAGGCATTTATTTACGTTTGTGTTCATAATTTGTAATGACATTTTTAATAAAATACATTTTTTTAATAATTTATTTATTAAATGATTGAAAATAATATAAAATATGCAATTGTTTTTAAAACGTAACACAGAAAATGAAAATTGACTAAATATTTGGCGTTGATTTAAATATTTATGTTTGTCATGATCATAAAACGCTGTAGTAAAATGACAGATGAGTGCAATAAAATTTTTATTGCACTAGTGCAATAAAGACCCAGTTTTTTCACTAAATATAGTTCAATAAAGTTTTGTTTTTTGCATGAATGTAGAAAAAATAATTTTAAACTCTTTTTAACACTAATAAGTTTTTTTAGAAGATATGGTTTTAGATTTTTTTATATAAAGCACACAACACTAACTTATAAACAAACCAACGCCTTAAAATAGTTAAAAATCGCAAATATTTTACAAATAAACGTCTCCAAATCAATAAAAAGATGGTTTCTTAACTACCTGAGTATACGAATTCGATCACGTGTTAAGCGACGTAGATAAACAAGTCAAAATTTGATTGACTGTCATGTCATATATGACACCGCGGTACTCTTTACTATTGAAACAGCTGAATATATTTTAATTTTGTGTTATCTTAATTTGTCTTACACATTATAAAAGGTAAAAAGTTATTTCCACTAATGAAGATAAAATATTCAAATCACATTTGCTTATGGCTTATCGAAACTCGCTTGATTACCATAGAACTCGGCTTAACGCCTCGTTCTGCGCAGTTTTAAACAGAGTAGAAACATTTTTTTTTGTCATAAGCATGATTATATCTATAAATATTACAATATAAATGTCAATTATAGCATAAAATCTTGGTTTAGAACTTTTGACCACGTGTAATTTATTTATATTTTAGTCTGTATTATTTTTTACTTTTACTTACTACGTGTATTATACGTTTATTGTATATTTTATCTTAAGACAGTTTTTGTAGAAAAGAAGTTTTATATTTTTGTACTTTTAAATAAGCCTTAATATATTCCTACGGAAATTTTTATGTATGTATAATTACAAATGGGAGCGTTTTTTATCAATTCTGTTTTGTAAGATTTATTGAAATTGAATAAATTTTTTAATTTTTTTGTTTTTTTATTATTTTAACGTTTGCCTATTTCTAACTACGAGGTTTAAACACAGGCAATGGTGAGCATGCTACCCCCTAATTCAATAAAATCCAAATAGGTAGTTTACAGTGAGGAAGAAAAAGTGTAAATATTTATAAGATATTCGACGTTTAATTAATCAGGAAAGAATGAAGATCATTCCGAAAATTGAATAAAATATATATCTATGCTATCCCTATTAAACAATATTCATGTTAAATCCTGTAAAATATGCACGCCAATGATGTGGTCATTTGATGACATTTTTACAAAATTCGGTCAATGTAAACAGTATACAATAATAATTATGGCATAAAGGGAGGGTAATTTATAATGAATAACCCTGTTAGGTACCTAATAATTTTCAGTAAAAAATTTTAATTCGCACTTTTTTACGTAGATTAAAGAAAAATGTAATTTCGTGTTTTCTTGGTGCAGACATTTTGCGACACACTGTATATTCAAATCCAAAATGATGTATTTTCTTTTAACACATACCTAATACAAATTTATTAGCAACATTTAAATACTTGTTATTTTCGGTATATTTCTCCTTTAGACACATTTTTTAGTTTCATTGTCAAAAGATTTAAATAAAATTACCGGACCTTATAATATTCTATTATAATTTGATGATCCCGAGTGGCCATAGCAAAAAGACGAAATTTGAGCATGAATATTTAAATGTCATTAACGTAAAATTAATGTTTTGAAATTAATTTAAGTTTTACCAATTTAGAAAATAAAATTAATAAACAAAAAATGTACTCGTGGGTTTGAACTCGGAAACCCTTCGATTCATAGACGAGTACTCCCAGACAGCACACCAAATCCTTTGGATATCTACTGAACATCCCAATATCCACTTAATGTCCAGTCCATGGTGGATATCTATTTTATATCCATAAAATGTAATTTATAGACATGCAAATGTCCATAAATAATAGTAATTATATAGCAAATTATTAAAAAATTACGCCATTGTGGCTAATAGTACCGTTCAGATATTTAAAATTAATTTTTTTAAGGTGTATTCAATATCCCATGGACATCCACATATATCAAAGTCTTAGCGCGGACGCAAACCATCGTGGATAACTACTAGATGTAATTTTTGATTTTGCTTCCTAAGTATAGATGGCGATACCACTTTCGTATCTACTCATGCTCAACCCGCCATAATTGAGTTGATCGAACATTTTTTCGCATTAAGACTCTATTAGAGACTGGAGTCGAGAATTTCCATTTATTGCTGAATAGTCCTAATAAGGATTACTTTTTCCTTAGTGGGCAAACTCAGACAGATTGTTGGAAATATTTTTTATCTCTATTTTCTTTCGACGTTATCATTCATTTGGTTACTTATGAATGTCTACTAAAGATACCTATAAAATATTTTGCTGAATATCTGAATTCTATATCCTGGGATATAGACGGACATTTGGTTGGATATCCATATTTGGATATTGGATATCCACAAAATATATTCTGTGGATATCTCTGGGATTTCTTGTATTGTCTGGAAGATACTAATTAGATATTTTGCTGAATATCCATAGGATATCTTCTATATTCTGGATATAGACGGACATTTGGATATCCATATTAGATCCACGGAATATTTCTGATATCCTGTGGATATATTGGATATCCACAAAAGATATTCTGTGGATATCTTTGGGATTTGGTGTGTTGTCTGGGCTCTAAATATTCGTTATGGAGGCTTACGAGATAGTTTTACCATTGTATTTAGATCAACTAGTAAAACAATACCAATGCAAATTATCTTGGAGGACAATGGACAGTATCAATAGATGGCAGCAAGCTCCGTGGTGTCCAAGTCATGTCTTTGATAATTTTGTCGTCTTCGAAACGAACGTAATTTCTCTATCTACTAGATGGGCCCATAATCGATTCAGAATATTTGTTTTAAAAATGGAATATACGAGTTTAATTATGCTTGTTGAACATTTATTTACGATTTATTATTATTTTAGAGAATATAAACAATAGTAATTTAAATTTAGCACTCTACCCATATGAATTTAAAAATTAAGAAAATTTTATGTATATAGAATTCTGTACTCAATGATCGAGGAAGTGCTAGCCATAGAAAAACTAAAAAGCTAGCGTTCGGGCTATTTTGATGAATTTCTAACAGATGTCGCGACAGAATTACCTCCAATGAAACGTCCATAAGGTTGTTCTACTATCTTCTCTAAATACAATGGTTTTACTTTTTAACACTGATAATCAGATTGCTTTTAGTTTCATTAAAATCTCAGTTTATTTTTAAATATAGACGAATATCTTGTGGAATGCTATTATTTATTGATTCTTCACAAGAATCACTAATTTTTAATTATATTTAATCTTAATAACTAAAAAAATATATATTGACAATTAATTTGACGGAATTGTCATTTATAAAGTTCTAACATCTGACATAGAGGGCGTTTCTAACCAGTAAATAAAATCGTTAGTTCAATGATAGTACCAATAGATGTCGGGCGCGATGGCCTCCAATAACTTTTACATGGCGATTATCCTACTATAGTTCTTTATACAATGCCAATACGCAGCCGGGCCCGCTGCCCATATTTGTTTTAATTTACCACGATTTACGAAATTGAGAAGAATGTAAATATTTTGGGGTAAAATATAAAGTAATGCGTTACACCCTCTGCCGCCTTTGTGCAGGCATAAAAATACCGCCCATATATTTTAAAAAAGCAAAATTTTTAACCGACTTTAAAAAAAGAGGAGGTTCTCAATTCGTCGGAATATTTTTTTATGTACACGGAAAAAAAATTGTAGAACAAATTTCTACAATTGTAGATTTTTTCTCTACAATAAATAGTACATATATAGGGACAGGGACAATTTGTAGTAAAAATTTCCAAATATTTGTGGAGAATGTATTGTAGAGTTATTATCTACAATACTTAGTAAAAAGATCCAAATGCATCATAAGAATTGTTCTACAAATTGTTATAATTTTTGCTATTCATTGTATGAATTTATATTAAAAATGTATTGCGTTTTATGAAAATAAATACGAAAATTTTACACAATAAATAATAAAAATTCCTACAAATTGTAATTTTTAATAAAATTTGTAGTAGTATTCCATAATTATTATAATTATAACCTAGAAAAAAATGTTCCTTAATAAAATAATCAATTTATTGTTTTAATATAAAAGATACAAATTCTTAATTACATTATGTAATAAATAACAGTAATAATAGCGCCCTCAGTCTCAGTTGGCTTTTCTGCACCTGAAAAATATTAAATAAAAATTAATACCAATTGAATTGTTCATACCCTTAAAACGGGGATATTTATCACCTTTACACTGATTTGGATATTAAATGACTAAGTCAGATAACTAACAAAAATGAGAAAGTAGGTATGTCACAATTAAGACAAAAAACATCATTGAACTTGGCACAAAATTCGATCGTTGGGCACAACATTCGATCGTTGGCCACAACTATTTTTTTAAAATAATCTACTAAGGTTATTTAAATTAATTATCTAAAGGTAAATTATTCAGAAACAATAATAAATGTACTTACCACCAATAGAATTTATTATTAAAATTTTCTCAAACGCATCGGTGCTTATAATATAATAATGTGTTATAGGTACTCGTATATGTACCATGCTTTGTTATGTGAACATGGCGAACGGCTACTGCTGTCTGGCCGTTTATGATCGACGTCAGAAAACGTTGGCCAATAGCAGAATTCTGTTTTGTTCACATGACTTTATACAATATTATAGAATATTTTTGAAGAAGGGATGTAAAGTATTACTATTTTTTGTAGAGAAAATTACTATTTTTTGTAGAGATAATTATTAATATTTGTACAAATTTTTACAGAAGTTAGTAGTAGTAATTACGATAATTGTAATAAATTTCTACTTCTACAGACAATAGTAAAATATACTAAACATTGTGGACTTCTTTCCTATTGTTGTAGCATTTTATTCGACAATTCAATTGCTACAATAATTAATAGTTTTTAACTATAAATTGTAGTAAAATTTTCTACAAATTGTTAAGTATTTTTCTACAAGTCTACTACTACAACATTGTAGTAAAATTTTCTAGTCACATTTTTTTCCGTGTATGTTCAGCGATAATTCTAACCGGTCGTTGCTCGTTCACCGTCATCGCAACTGTTTACACGAAGTAAAAAACGTATATGATTCATAATCAAATGAAACTGTTTGATGACTGTGAAAACGGCCATTGACAATGAATATTCTAATTCGCTTTTCAAAATTACTTTTTACATTACTTAATACCTCTAAATTAATAATAGCAAACGCATCACGAATGCGTGTTTTCATATCTTCGGCGATGGTCGACTGTGTTTGATAAACTACGTTTTTAACACATTCCCATAAGAAAAAAATCTAGAGTGGTTAGTCGGGTGAACTAAAGGGGAAATTAGTAGGGCCTTTTCGCCCTATTCGTTTTTCAAGAAATTTTTAGTTTAAATATATCCACACATTATGCGAAAAACGGGCGGGAGCACAATCTAGCTGCAGCCACATTTTTCGTCTAATATCCAAACGTAGGTTTCAGAAATCTTTCTTCAAAAAAATTTCTTTCTTTTAAATGGCCTTCAAAAAATAGGGCCTCACCAACTGTCTTCCTATCATTCCACCATAAACGTTTAACGACCATCGGTTTTGTCAATCTACAGTTCGAAATTCATGTGCTAATCACAAAATAGACTCATCAGTAAATACCCAGACAGCACACCAAATCCTTTGGATATCTACTGAACATCCCAATATCCACTGAATGTCCAGTCCATGGTAGATATCTATTTTATATCCATGAGCTGTAATTTATATAAATGCAAATGTCCATAAATAATAGTAATTATATTGCAAATTATTAAGAAATTACGCCATTGTGCTCGCCATTGTGGCTAATAGTACCGTTTAGATATTTAA